GCCATCCAGGGAACAGCATGTAATGGCACACAGGTAAAGCTATGGAACATGTGACGACACTTAAATGAACATAAATGGGCTGAGTTTAAATGTAAGAGCTAGTCAGTGGATGGCCTGAACTAATGGCTGAGCAGTTTTAATTAATATAAGCTTCTAAGTGATTATTTTATAAGCAGCTATGGGGTCCGTGGGGCTGGGCAGGACCAGAGAAAACTTCAGCTATAGATGGACATAGGCAGACTCTTCTGTCCTGCCAGCTGCTCCCCCAAATAACCACACAGAGACTTAATATTAACTATAAATGTTCAGCCAATAGCTTAAGCTTGTTTTTAGCTAGCTCTTATAACTTAAATTAACCCATTTCTACTAATCTAGGCGCTGCTCCGAAGCTTGTTAACCTCATGTATGCACTTCCCATCCTGCTCACTGTGTGCCTTATGGCAGTCTCCTCGAGATTCCTCAGACTCTGCCCTTCTTCTCAGAGTCCTCCTAGTCTGGCTCTCCCACCCAATCTCTTCCTGCCCAACTATAGGCCAGTCAGCTCTTTATTGACCAATGAGAGTCATACATATTTACAGTGTACAAAGATTGTTCAACAACAGGTGGAATCTCTTCTGGGTAGGTTTATGTCAGCTTGACACAGCTAGAGTCATTTGGAAAGAGGAAGAAAATGAGAAATTGAGAAAGTGCTCCCACCAGAATGGCATGTGAGCAAACCAGTTTTCTTAATTAGCAATTGATGTGGGAAGGACTAGTCTATTGTGGGTGGTACCACCACCAGGGCAGGTGGTCTTGGGGTATATAAGTAGGCTGAGCAAGTCAGTAAGTAGCACTCCTCCATAGCCCCTGCTGTCAGTTCTTGCCTCCAGGTTTCTGCATTGAGTTCCTGTCTTAACTCCCCTAGATGATGAACTGCGAGCTGCAAGATGGAATAAACCATTTCCTTGCCAAGTTGCTTTGGTCATGGTGTTTTATCACAGCAATAGAAACCAAACTAAGAGAAGTTCAGACTGACTGTGTTCTAGATTCAAGTGGGATTTCTGGCAAGTATTTACCTGGTGATGCCTCTGTCCATCAGAAGCACACAGCACCTATCTTTTGACAATGCTACTATCAATAATAGTTGTTATATAACACAGCTATTTTTTTTCAAAGATTTATTTATTTATTATGTATACAGCATGTATGTATGACTACAGGCCAGAAGAGGGCACCAGATCTCATTACAGATGGTTGTGAGTCACCATGTGGTTGCTGGGAATTGAACTCAGGACCTCTGGAAGAGCAGTCAGTGCTCTTAACCTCTGAGCCATCTCTCTAGCCCCTATCATAGCTATTTTAATTGCTTAATTTTCCCCCCAAGTGCTGAGGATCACACCTAGGGCCTTACACACCACAGATAGTGTTCAGTTACTGAGCCGCAACCTAGCTATTTCCATAATTTTATTTTTGATTATTAGCTGGATCATTACAAGGTGGAGGCATCACCTACAAGTCTGTGGTTATCTTTAGGAGCAGTTCATGTAAAATGGAAGACAAATATCCAGTTCTCACCCATTATTTTAAAAATTCCTCAAGAGTCCTGTGATACTGTGTTATTCAGTTTTATGCATCCAAGTTTTGAACATGCTGGATCTGTTTTGATTAACTGCTTCTGCTCTTCTTGATGATAGTCTGTGGCTCTTTTTTGGCAGTAGACATTGTTATTATATGGCCTCACAGTGTCTGTCTTCCTGCCCATCTTCTGGTCTTCCACCCAAACACCAGGAACATAGGTCAGAAACTGCTTATATATACTACTCAGCTCTCCAATGCTGTTTCTAGGTGTACTTTGAGAGACTGATTTCTCCCCTAGGGTCAAATTCTCCTTTGTTTCTCTGGCCACTGGTACTAACCAGATGTGGATGTCACACCCTTTCCATGTGAGTTTTCATCATGTACAGCACTGTAAATAGTTCTGAGCCATTAGGTCATGGTGTTTTATCGTAGCAATATCATAGACAAGGCCAAGTTACCAAGCACTTCAGTCTCCTCCAAGCCTTTTGGCTTTATCAGGCTGGACAGGGCAGTCTTTTTAGATTATTCCACTGCTGGAAGCCTTCTGGATATCCCTAGACCACCTCAGGGCTTCCTGACCAATGGAAACACCGTGATGCCTGCCTGGTGGACTCCCAGATCCTTCTCCTCCCTCCTTTCCCCATTTCTTCTCCAGGCCTAGCAGTTTCCATGAAGGACTAGCAATGCTAAGCTGAGGGCTTTGAAACACTGTGAAGATCTAGAGCCCTTATCTGGGCAGTTCTATTGGCTTCCCCCAAGGCTCACTCAACTATTCCTTCTTTCTCTGGGCCCAAGATCTGGTTGTCTGAAATGTCTGTAAGTTGAAATTTGACTTATTTTGTCCAGTGTCTTAGTTGTTTGAGTGGCAGGGTCACACAGCCTTTGTATACTCATGCCCATTTTGTAGAGAACTGTGCCTCCATTTTCCATGCTTTCAGACACTGTGGGTGAAACAGCTCCCCTAGGGGCTTGAGGTACAGGTGCTCAGTGTGCCCAGGAGCATCAAGAAGAGCCACAGAGCTGGGCGGTGGTGGCACACGCCTTTAATCCCAGCACGCAGAGCCAGGCGGATCCCTGTGAGTTCGAGGCCAGCCTGGTCTCCAAAGCGAGTTCCAGGAAAGGTGCAAAGCTACACAGAGAAACCCTGTCTCGAAAAACCAAAAAAAAAAAAAAAAAAAAGGAAGAGCCACAGAATTTGTGAGTGAGCACAAGAACAATGTCCCAAGGGCGTAGAAACCCGCTACAAGACAGGACCTGGGAGGAGTTTTACTCTTTTCTCTGTGCAATTCTGCTGCCTAGCACACTCTACTCAGGTGCTATGGGATCCTCTCAGAACAGCTAGGAGCAAGAGATCTCTCCAGGAGGAGAACATAGCAAAGTCAAATACTGCAGGGGTCACGGAGGTGGTAACAGACCTTGGATTTAGTTTCAAAATGTTCTGGAGCCCTGGGTCAAGCATTTGATGAAAAGTAAGGCAAAGCCTGACAGGGTTAAGAGAGTCATGGGGTTGGGGGACTGGATCAGCAGTTAAGAGCACTAGCTGCTCTTCCAGAGGATCTGGATTTGATTTCCACATCGCAGCTAACAACTGTCCATAACTCCAGTTTTAGGGAATCCAGTACTCTACTTTAGTCTCCAAGGGAACTGCACACATGTGGTACACAGACATGCATGCAGGAAAAATACCCATATACATAAAATTTAAAAATCTTTTAAAACATTTTTAAAAATTATGGGGTCAGTTCATTCTGTCCTCCCAGCAGCCTCACTGGGAGTTTGTAGGTGATGAGAAGACCATCAAAGAGGAAACTCATCACAGAGGATGGATTAAATACTTCAGAGAGGCTAGCTGGAGACAGAAGTAAGGAGGGAAGTATTCCTTTCCCTATCATCAAACTGAGTACCATAATTTTAGGTTCCTTCATTTGCTTGGCTGAACCAGAACACATACATGCACCTGTGAACTTAGTATATTACTAAATAAGACAGTAACATGATTCCAGGTCTCTTCAAGCCTCATGGATACCCTAACCCACTGGTTTCTGCTCTAGGTAAAGCCTCTGGAGTGTTTTGAGCAGGCAACATGTCCCAACGAATGCTTTATAAAAGCCATTATTTTGTGCTGAAAATGGATCAGGGAGCAAGGATGGATACAAGTAGACTAGTTGGAAGCTATTCACTAACCTAGGATACAGGGTAAGGATGGGGGAAGGGACACTTGCCTGGATTCTGATGGGTCAGCTGATGGCTAGAGGAAGACTTCAGTGCTGGAAGGTGGGGGCCTAAAGTGAGCAACAACCTTCAGGAAAGACCAGAGGTTATGCAAAGCTAGAGTTCCCTGAGTCATCCCTGATGACTAGACACAGAAACAAGGTCTGGGCCTGGACCTCTGAATATGGTGTTACCTAAGGCATGAAAAGCCCACTTGCAGACAGTTGGTTTGGGGGTCTGTCTGTCAAGTTAGATGACTTCCTGGGATCTGTGCCCTAATCCCAGAGCTGCTCAACAGAACCTCTTTGCTATTTCTAATACCAGCACCATACCCTCCCTTACTCTGGGACTATCAACTGTCTCCCTCATCAGTAGCCTCTCTATGACTGCAAAGGGCAGTCAGGTTTCTCTAGAGCATAGCTGCCTTGCTAGGGAGCCTTCCCTCCGAGGGACCATACACACGACCCTACCCCCCAATACCTGTAAGCCCCCCTCTAACTCCTTCCTTGTCCCACTGCCTGTCTAGCATACCGCTCGCTGCCACAACTACTTTGTTCCCCAAGAACAGCCTTGCAGCGGGGTGTGACAGCCTTTAATCCCAGCACTCAGAGGGCAGAGGCACGTGGATCTTTGAGTTCGAGGCCAGCCTGGTCTACAAAGTGAGGTCCAGGACAGCGAGGGCTACACAGAGAAACCCTGTCTTGAAATTTAAAAAAAAGAAAAAAGAAAAAAAGAACAAACTTTCTTTTCTCTGTTTCTGCACTCTCCCAGTTACAGTGACCACTGATCACCATGGACAAACGGATGAGCTGTAGGTTTCCACGGTCCGAAAGTCGAGCAGAAGGATCTCTCTCTCTCTCTCTCTCTCTCTCTCTCTCTCTCTCTCTCTCTCTCTCTCTCCAAAGTGTTCTGCGCACCTGGCTGATTCCTAGATAGGACAGGAATGTTAGAAGAAGGCACACACGGGAGGAAACCCAGATAGTCGCTCGTCAGAAGTGTTCTGAAGTCCTGCAGACGCAGTTTCTCCAGCTTGCTGCCTCTGACCACGCCTTCTGACCCACCTCTCACCCTGTGGCCACGCCCCTGAACTCCACCCCGCTTGTCTTGTCGCGCCAGCTTCCTGAATCAAGCGCTGCCAGCACGCGCCTGCGCCCTCTGGCCCCGCCTGGACCCCACCTCTATAGGCTCCGCCTCCCAGAGGCCCCGCCCCTCCATTTGCGAGGTGGGAGCTGAGCCGTACACTGCGCATGCTCCAGCCGCGGCGCCCCCGACTCCGCACTCGGCAGGATTCGGGCATTTCCGCCTCTTTGTTTTAAACTCCGCACGGCTTTTTTCTCCTCCTCTTGGGGGGGACCCAGAGGGAGCGGCGCCCCCTCCCCCTCCCGGCGAGCCCCCGCGTGCGCCCGCTCGCCCGCCGCCCGAGACGCAGGTCAGTGAGCCCGCCCCGCCCGGCCTGGCCCGCGCGCCCGCTCCTCAGGCCGCGGCCTCGGCCCATGGTCGGCAGAAGGCTGCGAGCCCAGCGCCCTCGGCAGGCCCGGGAGGCGGGACCCTAAAAGCTTGCCAGAAGGCCAGGACTTGGGAGGTCTAGACCTTGGGAGGGTAGAACCCTGGGCCGTTCTGGATCCCGGAACAACCTGGACCCCGGGAAGACAGGAACCGGGACTAGACAGAACCCTGGGAAGACAAGAGCCTGCACCAGGCTGGACCCTGGACCAGGCTGGACCAGGGATAGGCAGAATCCTAGAGCAGGCAGAACACCGAGCCAGGCTGGATTCCAAGCAGAGTGGACCATGAGAGAACAGAACCTAGGGAAGACAAGGATCCCAGACGGGCTGGACCAGGCACCAGGCAGGATTCCAGAGAACAGGACCCCGGAAGAACAGAAGTCTGGACCAGGCTGGTTTCAGGGAGATCAGAACCTCAGACCAGGCAGGACCCAGAGCAGGCCAGAAATACTGGGACTGGGCAGATCCTCATAGTGCTGGGGCCTCAGGACAGGTAGAGACCCGACCCTTGGATTGGTCATTGGGGGAGGGTCAGTACTAGAGACCTGACAAGATTCTAGGAAAGGTCATTGAGGAAGACTGGATCTCAGGACCCGACAGGACCTAGAAAATGCCAGAATCACTGAGATGGTCCAACTGTAGATAGATTACAGAGGAGGGTTAAGACCCTGAGACGACCCCACGGAGGGCCAGGACTCTGGGACAAGGCCGTAGGAAGGTCAGGACCCAGGGACAAATCAGCTGTAGCGAGCTGGGAAACCAAGACTGGCCCAGAGGAATCTGGACCACTATGGCGGTCCTTAGAGAAGTTTGGGGCCCCCAAGGGTAAACCGTGAGAAGGGTTCAGAATATAGATAGGCTTCAGGACCAATAGAACCAAAGGTGGGTCACGTTAGGGTGAAAACCTTGGGGCTGAACCACGAGGAAGGTCCTCAGGGAGTACATGGATAATAGTTGGAACTTCAAGGCATGGAGGCCTGGGACTCCAGACATATAGACCCCAAAATCTGCTGAAAAGATCCCTAGGCATTGGGAATCCAGGGGTGGCCCAGATCTACCCAGCCCACGCTGGACCCTTTCTGTGAAGTGCTTATATGTGGGTTCCTGGTTATTTGAGCCCAAGGATTCAAACCCTGCACTTCGCACAAGTCCCTGAGCACCCTGATGTTATGGAGTGGGTGAGGCTCTTAGTATAGTTACAAGGCAAAGTTGGAGCCCTTCATCACTCCAAGGACTCAGGACTTGCTGCTCCATGTCCCGGCCTCCAAGCTGCCTCCTCTGCTCTCCCAGCTCCTATAGGACTGTGCCTTTCCCTGGTCTTGGCCACAAGTCAGTGGCTGCACCTTTACTCCCCTTCTTTTTCCCCAGAAGGTCCTGAGGGTGTGTACAGAGGCTAGTGGTGTATCCAATGGGGGAGGCACCCCAGGAGGAGATAGGAAGGTGAAGTTAATGGGCAGAGGATTGAGGGGCTGTTGCGTGGATGACCAACTAGCACCCACATTCCTGTTTCATCCCTAAAAAGGAAAGAATTAGAGGACCTTGGGAAGAAGTTTTTGTTTCTCTGAAATCTTCCCAGTCAGTCATAGAGAACACAATGTTTGTGGAAAAGTGAAATGTGTTTTTGCTGCTGCGGGAGACATTAAGAGATAAAAATATGCTGCTCTTGACTAGGGCAAATACTAAGATGTCCACTGAAAACCTGATATGTTTCAAGATGAAAAGGCCAGGGGATTCTGGAGTGGCCAGGCTCCCACACAGATCTGGGGTAGTCAACAATGGGTGTGTTCCCACGCGGAAGCTCTGTTTGGTCAGGCTGCACTTAAAAGTGCTAGCTATAGGGTGAGAATGAACTCTGGGCAAGTATCAAGAGATACTTGAACTGGTCAATTCCATGTTTCATTTTGAGCCACTTTACTTCTTGGTTCCTCAGGGAAAAAAAACAAGTCTAGGTTCCTTAGCAGTGGGTGTCAACTGAGTTGTGCTCCTGAATGGCCCAAAGTGGAAAGTTGTGATTGCCAAGTGTCCCTACACTTGGGACCCTTGTACTCAGAGCTTGCTTCTGGTTTGTTCTTTGGTTATGCCCTTTACTGTAATTTGCTGTGTGAAATTTTAGAAAAGAATGAGAATTTGTTTAGGTTCAATGATGCTCTTCATCTTTCCATGCTTGGACTTTAAACATGAGTAGTGTTGAAGAGTTATATTATTTATATGTTGCTGTACAACGTATTACCCCAGAATGTAGTGCCCTGAGACAAAAATTGGTTCCAGTAGAAGGTGAAGAGCCCAGGCCTGACCTTGCAGAATTTCTGGCCAGGTTCCATAGGCCTGTAGTCAGGGTACTAGATCTTTGGGGGTGTTCCACAGGGATCCCAAACCAAGCTCCCTCCTACACTGCTAGCTGGAGACCCAGTTCTGTTCCTGGGGCATCTCAAAGGACAGTAGAGAAGGGGCCCCTGATAGAGCAAGGCAGCCTCTGGAAGGAGGCTACAGGCTTTACAGTGTACCCTTAGAAGTGGTGTGCCATTACTTCTGAATTGTCTTTTAGAATGAAGACACGAGATCCTGTGCACACTTGGGAAGAGAAAAATCCCACAAAGTGGGTGTACCAGAAGGTGAATCAGGCTTTGCAGTTTTGCTATCAGCCAGGGATTTATCAAGTTTTAAGTATCATATGGCCTATACCCAAGAAAATTTTATAAGTAAATTAAGAGTACCTCCAGATGTGGTGGCTCACACCTATAATTCCAGCACTTGGGAGCTGAGACAAGGATTGCAGTGAGTTTGAGTTTAAGGCAAACCTGAGCTACAGTAGTGAATTCCAGGCCAGTCTGGGCTACAGAGTAAGATCCTGTCTCAGAAACAAAAGTAGTTGTGTGTAGAGTGGTATGTTAGAATGAGGCTTCTAAATAACATGTCTAATGTCACTATAAAAGTTCAGATGATTGTGATGCAAATGTTTATCCTATTTAAGAGGAAATAATAGAGATAGAAAATGTTCCTGGTGGCTAACTTACCGTTTGGAATGCTCTGGCAAATAGGCCCCTGTGAACAAAGTGGGGTGTGGGACTGCTGTCTAACCTTTGGGTGAGGGACTTCCAGTATTCTGAGAACCTTGCCATGCTATTCTGAAATACATTATAAACCAACCTTCTAGATTTTCTTAAAACCATCTTAAATAAAAGTATCTTTCCTGGTATATTGGACCTCATACACTTGATTATAAGTGGTTTTTTAAAAATAGTGTGTAAGATGTGAGGTTGGGATATTTGTCCTTGTGGGAATCTATGCTCAGAGATGTCCTGCAGACCTAGGAGCCCCTTCTCCCCATCCAAGGTCTTGTGAGTAGGCCTGGAAGATGGCTCAGAGTACTTATCCAAAGTTGCTTTGGAGGCTCTTGCCCCTGATGGCCACTTCCCTATCATTTCTAAATGTTGGGGGGTTCCACTCAAGTTCACAAGGTCATTGGCCAGAATTATTGGGGTTTATTTGTGCTTTAAAACAAGGTTTGTCTGGGTCTGTGTTGTTATTCTTTAATGACCATATTTATTATTTGCTGCCTTGTTTGTTTGATGTTCAGAGTTGGATTTAAAGTTGAAGATGTAACTTTTTTTAATTTATAAATACATTGGAGTTGAAGGTCAGTTTCCTGTTGTCTATTGTTATCCTTAAAATCTTACCGTTCATATTGGAAGAATGCTGCATAGTACATTATGCTTCAAAAACTGGAACTGTTCCTTAGTTCTGTGAGTTGATTATCATTAAATTTAGCTGGACATGGTAATATATGCCTATAATCCATGCTACTAGTAGTGAGACTGAAACAAGAAGATCTTTTGAGTTCAGAAGTTGAAGACCAGTCTGGGCAACAGTGTAACCCTGTTTCAAAAAATAAACTAAATTACTCAATCACAAAGATGGATGAGGCCTTTAAAAACAAGAAAACACTCTTGTCTGCCACATACCTTCTTACAGAATTAAATTGTACAAAAGCCAGAAGGATAGGTAATAAGCTTAACCCACTTTTGTTGTAAACTACCCACTGAATTGAGCAAACTCGCACTGACAGGAGCAGCGCTTGCTGGAGATGCTGTTGTTGGCTGTGTGTTGTCTTAAACAGACTCTACAGTGTTTAGTTGGACCTCAGGAATGGAGGTTAATTGGATTTTTCTTTTTAAAAGTTCACTGATATTTGGTGGACTTTGCTATATTATCAGTAAATTCTACAGTAAGAAGCATATAGATGGTGAGATGTTTATAAACTTCCCTAAAGCTCCTGACCAACCCCGTGTCTTACGTGGGTCTCATTGGGCCTCATGGGGTCTTATGCCTAGAAACCTCATGGGTCCTGTGTGGGTTTCCTGGCTTTTATGGTACAATGGAACTTACTAGGGCCTGTTGTGAGTCCTGTGTGGTTATGTGGTTATTGTAAGGCCTCATGGAGGCCTCTGGGTCACATGAGTTTGTAGTGACTTTCTGTCTCCTGGTTCCACAAACGTATTAGGTGTTCAGCAAACTGTAGCCTAAAGCAAACCATAATCAGTGGCTTTTATAGCTTTGTGCTGAGGATATGTGTCAGCTTGGTTGCTGAAATCCTCAGACATGCTCTACAAACCAGGAATGGGGACTAAGCCATACATACCACAGCTGTCCTTACTTCAAGGACTTTTACTTTTTAAAAAAAAATTTATAATTATTGTGTGAGTGTATATTTCGGAGTACAGAAATACTGAGCATGTATGGATGTCAGAAGATAACTTTATGAAGTCTTGTTTTCTCCTGCCATCTCTATGTGGGTTCCAGGAATTGAACTTAGGTCATCAGTCTTGATGGTAAGTGCCTTTAACCCCCTGAGCCATCTCATCAGCCACTACCTTTTGCTTTTTTTTAACGATTGATTTATTTATTTATTATGTATACAGGAGAG